TATATTTATTAATTATTTTCTTATGAAGAATAATATTTTATTAGATGTTTATTTTTGTGATTTGCTAAACAAATAACACCTTCCTTTACATTTTTGAAAAACAGTTTATTTTTGTCATAAGTATTGTAAATTATTAAATGTAATATAATTTATCAAAAAACAAAATTAATGAAGAATTTTCTTTTTGTTTACGACATAAACATATAATAATATATACATGCACTTTATAAAAATGTAGCTACATTTAAAATTATATTTTAAATTCAATGTATTCATAAAATAATGTGTGTATTTATGTATTTTTTAAATATTACTTTACACACTTTATTCTATTTCTACTTCTACTCAGTTGTAACCACCTGCAAGAGGGATTTAGTTGATTATAATATCTGTTTAAAACATGCATTACAAGAAGCATGGCCAAGATTTGTGAAAGGTATCCATTTGAAATTTATAAATTTTCATTCTCCTAAATTTTATATTTTTTAAATACAATATATGCACTATTATTTACAATTACACAACAATTAAAAATATTTATACGATAAATCAATATTAATAATTAACAAAAATAAAGTTATACATTTAAATTTACAGACTGTTTAAATTTTATTTGAACTAAATAAAATAGGTTAATTAAATAAAATTGCTTTAAAATTTAAATATTAATTAGCTTATTTATGTGTGTTGATAGGACTTCCAGAATTTGATTTTCCACCTTTGGACCCATTAGTTTACAAAAACGGAAAAATTGAAATTAATTCTAATGAATTACGTATAGTACAAAATTTTTCAAATCTCATTGTTATCGGTTTATCACAGGCTCGATTTTCTGATGTTAGAACATATTTTTTTGATGATGTTTTCCGTTTTGAAATGGACGGACAAGTACCTATCTTATTCATAGAAGCTTACATAAAAGTAAATGGTACCATAAATATATTCAAAGTTATTGATGAAGGTACACTAATTAATTCTTTATTTTTCTACTTATTTTATTAAATATATTCCCATTTATGACTTATAATAACATTATTCATATATATCATTCTTTTTACAAAGAAGTAGCAAAATATATTTTGTATATTTTGTTATAATTTTATTATTAAAAAATTTTAAATAATTAAGAAAAATGATTATAATAATTATAATAATTTATTAATTCTAACAGTATCTGTGTGCGTTTGTGTGTGTGTGCACGCGCGCGCATGCGTGTATAAATGTGTATTACACACACATTTATAAATCTATGTCTAACGAAGTTAATAATTACTTTTGTAGTTTTGTAATTTGACAATTCTGAAAAAGGAATTATAAATTTCTAAATCATTATTTAAGTAACACTTATTTTACTTAAAAAGTACCATATTTATATTACATTAAAATAACATATTTATATTTATATGTATTATTGTTGTAATTTACGTAATAGGTCATGCAAATTTAACTCTGAAGGATGCCAAAACAACATGTAATTTAACAGGACATGTAGTAAACGATACATGGATTGTGGAACATTTTCGAATTAGTCCGTCATTTGGAGACTTTAAAATTTATGCCACGAGTATTTTCGAAGAGAACAAAGCGTTTAGTAAGTATTTAACTAATTTAGATATAACTTAGTTTTTTACTACTTTTCCAATATATATTAAATTATCTGAATAAA